AGTTCAAAAACTCATTAATTATTCATGAGGTATTCAGCCAATCCCTGTTTGTAATTTGTACCACGTGAAGTAACTTGAAACCAGAGGAAGTACTCGTACCTTGTATTCTACCTTATTTCCAGTTACTTCTACCTTTTTCAAGTTACTTCTACATTATTTCCAGTTACTTCTACCTTATTTCCAGTTACTTCTACCATGTTTCCAACTACTACTAGCTAATGATAATCAAATTATTAGAAATAATCAGTTTAACATTAATTTAGTGAAAAAAGGTCTTTGATACATGACTCCCTCACGACTCGATCCCCTACCGTCCAGTCTATATGCGCCGTCTTATACCATTACGCCACCGAGTTTCTGATGCGATTCCTCGGAAGATAACATACTTATAAATCTTATGGATTAGACTCATTAGGAATGCCATGAATAGCAGACAAAGACAATTTGAATAGCTTTTGTTTCAGAAAGCCGTCCGGGAATTGAAGAACAACAAACGGTGCTTCATGTATTCAAAATTATGAAAACTGAAAACCTTAGTGGAGATGCAATAAATCAATATATTTCTGTTATATGTATTTCCTTCGCTTTTTTTCCCTCCCGAATAATTAATGAGTTTTTGAAGTCGTTCAAAGGCCTCCAATTCGGACTTGACGGGATTTCAAAGTCCTTGCAATTAGTTCCAGTCCTCGGCTAGCGCCTCGGACTGGAACTAATTGCGCGGACTTTGAAACCCCGTCAAGTCCTCATTGTCGGCCTTTAAACATTACTTGAAAGGTCTTCTTTAATGTAAGCACAATTTAATTAACAATTACCTGAATGCAAGGCTTCCATACCCTTCTACTATTTCATAGCAGGCATCAGCATTTTTCCATGCAACTAGCTCTGCACAAAGCACTGGGTTTTTTGGTAACAAAGAGAAGAACTTGTTCACAATGTAGCTAGAAAACTTGAACAATTCCTAAAAGAGAATTTTGTTTAGATAATTAAAAAGTTTAAAAAGAGACTCACTGAAAAATAGTCAGCCTATGACTGCATGATGCTACTGTGCAAGAAACATTCAAGTAGTTGCTCAAACATGTTTTCGTACACGTCATCTGGATATACTTTTCTTAAGATAAATTTAATGTCATGAAAACATTTTTGAGYGACTACTTAAAAGTTCACATATCTAGTAAAGCCTTCCAGGGCATCATTGCCAATATCATATTGTAAGTAAGTAAGTATAACTCAAAAACTCAACACTGAAATAATGGAACATTTAACCATTCAAATATTCACTTTATATAGAATCAGCTCACAGAGAATCAGCAATTATTGTGTCAGTCATCATGGGCACTTTAATGAACCCACATTTGTTTTGCTTGTTTCTTTGCATTGTGTATTTTCATAATTACTTTTGGTTTTTCAATGAAATCCATTTTTTAAGATCTCATAGATTAAGAAAATGAATAATATATTATATAGTTTTTTTTCAATTTAAAAGAAATCAAAACAGTGACATGAGTTTGGTAAGATAATCATATTAAAGTGATATAAATTAATACCTGAAACTGCTTTTTAGCGGGAGAGTTTAGAATTTTATTGAACACCATAAAAAGTGACAACTGAAATAACATTGGATACATCTTAAGATCCACAGCAATCCTRTGGAGCATCTTCACAATGTAATGGTTAGTTTTGGGATTGTTTTCYTCATAAAACAATAACAACCAACAGTATGGCTGCACGATTCCAGGATTTGCAAGTCTAGAACAAAGAAAAAGAGCAATAGGGGATGATATTAATTATGAAATCATTTTACTACAAATACCAAAATGCTCTGCATATTTCATTGTCATTCAGATTTTTATTCCCTTTGCATTTTCTACAAAAAAACAATTGTTGGAATTCCCCCCTAAACTCATTTACAATCTACAAACACATTTCTGCAAAGGGATATCCCTATTTTTAAAAAAAGGTTTTCAGACAATGGCAATACTTCAATTTTAAGTTCTGGTTTGCTCTGTGTTAGCCTCAAAACCAAGYAACATATTCTTTAGCCTGAGAAAACGCATGGAATTTAAAAAGAAAGACAATAGAATTGRTTTGCAATCTCACATCTTTATTCTCACAAAGTAGTATTTTGCGAACAAATGAGGCACACAGAGCAATGGAGAATTCGAAACTGGATTATTGTCAAACAGTGATTCCACAACTGATAGTCTACCATGCATTCTTTCAATMAATTTCCATATGTTCTGCAGTTTCTACAATTTTGACATGATATCAAAACGAACCATATATGCATGTGTATTCATCCAAAATTAGCTGCATCAAATTCTATACCAAAAATAAAGCTATTTTGGTAAAAGTGAAAAACCTTTTTTTGGTTAAATTTGGTAATAAATCTCCATAAGTCTTGCTTGCATGGGAGCTACTTACCTAGATGAATTACATTTACTCACTTGTTGAGAAAGTCTTTAAAATCAAATTGTGTTTCACGGGTGACAACAGCCTCTAACTCTTCTTCCTCTACAAGTACAAGAGTAAGTACAAGGGTAACTATGTGTACATAACATCAAATATAAGTAGCACCATAATAAAGCCTATGGTTAAATACACATGAAGGATCCCAATCCACTGGATATAAAAAGTCTAACTGTACAAAAACTATGGAAAATTACTTTATTCACTAGATGAAAAACTTTGACCAGTATGCCACTGACTATCAATTATTTGTTATTGGGTTTCCTTAAGAAATAAAGGATGATTTGCACATTTATCGGTAAAATAAAGCATGTGGTCATGTTGTGCTATATTTCACTAATAAAACAACGAAATCCAACCATTATTGTTTTTTTGATGTAGAAAGTCATAACTTGTGCTTGCAAGGGTGCATCTACTGGCAAAATATATCATGTGGTTTGACCAATCACAGTATGCAAACTATTACACCTATATTATAGTTTGTAATAATTATGTTTCTCTCTGAATAACTTTCAAGGACATTGCAATCAAAATGAAAGCCTCTCAATTAAAGTACTTACATATACTAGATACATTTTAGTTCTGTTTGTTTTTTCCGGATTATTTTAAAAATAAAAAAAATATAAAAAAATGGCTTCAAGTAAACAGCCAAAATACTTTCATATTTGGCGCCATTTTCAATTTCTCCTATATCTAATTGTCTTCTCATCAGGTGATCCATATGACATTAYTAGCAGGGTAGGTTCGAGTATGAAATACTTTGTTTGGCTCTATTTTCTCTGAAACTTTGTGTACTCTGACCTTTATTATGGAGGACATTCATAACAACCAGCCTAGCAAAGTTCTGCCAATACATGACACCGCAAAGCGCCTTGAGATCTGCCTRCTAATGAAGTCACTGAATAAATTTCCATAAAGCAGAAATTCAAAATGTCGCCAAATTTGAAAACAATTTGGATGTTTACTCACAGCCTTTAACAATCCAGACAAAAATAAAGACCACTAAAATGTATCTATATGTAAGTACTTTTCGTTTTGATTGCCAATGTCTTTGAACATCAAAATTTGATATACAGCATTACCTGGCAATTCTTCTTCATTTTCTACTGATTCTTCTTCTGCAACAGGATTATCTGATTGAATAATCATATAATAAATCATCAAAAAAGACTCATCGTCTAAAGGATCTAAGGAATCAATTTACTTTAAAGTAAAGCAGTTGTTGAAAAGCCTCAACTTGAGGTCAAAAGGCAAAATACGAACTTTTCAAAACTTGGATGTGCACATGAATTAGATCTATAAACATTTCGGCACCAATTATTAGTGCAGCTATGACTGCAAACTCTGGGTTTCCTGTGCGGTGTACACCCTGGATGAATGAGCGAAAATAGGAATGGACCAACAACAAGTGGAAACCCTGTATCTGCCCAMGAAAAAAGGGCTTGATAGTTTACAATATTTTCTATGATGCTCTGCTAATGATTTCAATAGCACATGTACATAAACACTGTACCTTGAGGCAGGTCAAGCATCTTAAATATGTTATGAAGACACATAAACTCATCCTCTGCTTCAATATCAGGGGAACCAAATGAGTCATTAGGCCATACTTCTCTACAAATGCAACACAAAAATGCAGACATTACATTGCATTAACTCAAMTCTTTGACATACAAGTACCAAAAATAATGATACACCTTCTATCTACAATTATGCAGACATACTTCAGAATTATATTTCATGCATACACTGTTATTAAACTAATGTCAAAAAAGTTTTGCTATCCTACCTGGCAGCTCTCAAAAAAGCTACAGCATCAGTATACTGACCACTTTGTAAATAAGTCTGGATTTTGCTTAAAGCCATCACCCTTCAAAAAGACAAGAATGAATACAATGTAAGTGGTTTAGTAAGAAAAGTATCAGGGTCAAGGTAGCCAATCAGTTAAAATGCCAGTCTGCTCCAGAGTGGTCTGGGTTTGACTCCCAATTTTTGATACAAAATGAGTTCATTGATGTACAAGTTGATAAAGCMTCCTAAACTGTACATTGATCTACATGTACTGGCTTCTCATTTAATCACTGCAGTGTTCAATTCACAGGTAATCCAGTAAACCTGATTGGGAATAGGGATAGTACATGTATTTGTAATCAAAACAATGTGTCACATACCCACTTTAGTGCCCCAGGGGGCGGGGAGCRGGGGTTTCAACTAACTAGTGCATTATTGAAATATGCATTTCCTGAGGTATTTGAATTGACAATATTTTGATTGACAGCACCTTATTTGGAAGTTAAACAATTTATGGAATTCTAACACAGAAAAATACTCCAAAATTGACAAATTTATTACCATAGGGAATGAGTTAAAGTTACAYATTATTGATTTATTATCTAACATTCAGGAGTGTTTATAATGCAAATTATAGTACATTCAACAAAATAATACATTCTGMTTGGTCGAGAGGAGTACAATTACAGCGTTAATTGTACTCATTAATTAAGTTGAATGTACTATAAACAAAAAATCGCACAACCTCTCGTACAATTTGGAATTAATAGTCACTCGTAATGTTTTGAAAGTTCTCAAATTGCACTCGCCCTATCGGGGAGCTACATGTATCGGGCTCGTGCAATTACGAGAACTTTCAAAACATTACTCGTGACTATTAATTCCAAATTGTACTCAAGKTCGTGCGATTTCCTATACTAATTTATCAATAAAAATGAAATGGTTCTATTGTTATAAAAGTCCAACCTTTGGTGGTCCATGGTCACATCAGAGGCAGCATCGAAAGGTACCACAGAATCAGGGACTTCCCCACCATGGCCTTGTACCACTGCTGACAAATCAGACGCTATATTCTGCCACATTTCATCAGCTTGTTCTGCTGTGAGTGTAATTCTTGGATCTAAAAAGTGAGTGAAAAGTGTAATAATAACAAAATTATTTGCTTCATCTTGATTTGACTATCTACATGTATCTATATAAATTACATGTATTTTATAAAATCTTTTGCAGACTGCTTTTCTTATGAAATCTAMATGAAGTTTAATGTAATATCTAAATAATTATATAAAACAAAAACTCACTCTTTTTTTTGGACTTTTTTCTTTTCTGTTTTGATTTTCTTTTTTGCTGAGGAAGAATAAATTAGTCTGGATTGACTGCTATAAAAACTTCCTATTTTTAAAACTTAATTTAAAAACGTCTTATTTTACATATTATCAGAAACGTGAGGGGGGAAATGTTTCTTTGAGAGTCATCCAAAGTTGAGACATTTTGGTTCAAAAGATACAACATAGACTGATATTTTTTGTACTTTACATGCAGTACAGGGTGCTGATATAGTGTCCTTTTTGAGAAATTCAGTTCCATCAATATTGCATGCATTTCAATCATTCAGACATTTGACTTGTTTTTTTTTCCTGGAAATCTTCTTTTTGCACACATATTATAAATGTAGAACCAACGTAAATTTGCTGATCATCACTGACAAAGATCTATAAATGATGGTCCAAATATCTGATCAAAACTTTAAAAAAATTTGCTCAGGTGTAATAAAATTTAATCATATTCCAGTGCAAGAATCTATACTCTACAAATGGTGAAGAATGACTTCCCTCATACCACTTTTTCCTTCTCTTTCTACTAACTAGCTGGTTGTGAAGCTTTACCTGAACAATCACATGCCTTTTTCCTTGACAAAACTGTTCTAGCATCTTTAGGAAAACATGAAAAGTTTCAACAAGATCTCTTAAGTATGATCTACAAATCAAAGACAAGAAAAAAACAAGTTAACTTGACTTACTTAAGCTAATTATTATAATAAATAATCCTACGTTATAAAAACTTTTAGTCCTGAAGATGAACAATATAGTTGCAAAAGGTTGGAAAAAGTCAAAATCTTTCACCTCCTTCACATATATTTATAAACTGTAATGTAATAACAGTCCTTAATAATGACCTTMCAAATGAACAACATTTTTTTTCTGGAATAGTAGCATAATATAGTGTGGTAAAGCTACAAAGTTACATCTCAAAAGAAATTACACTTTGTTAAAGAAAATCTTATCAGTACATATATTGTACACTCATTTTTGTCTATAACATTGATYTACAAAAATAGTTATTAAATTATATTAATAACTAACAAATAAAACTTACTTGGATTGCTTAGCTTTGTTAAACTTGCGTAACAGCAACATAAAGATATCTCGATATTCAACTGCATAGAAGACATTTGCTAAAGAATATCAAGAAACATCATTAGAACATCCTTAGAGAGTTGTTGGCCTTTCAGAGCTTCTTCGTGGTGGAGTCCTGGGTTCTCAAGTTTTTTGACTCATGTTTTCCTGGCACACTCTGAGACAATCATMAAGAGAGACAATTACACCTGACACAACTGATGGCCATCAAACACTTTCCATAAACTGAGTTACTGAAAATGGACTCCAAATTAGTACTGTGAACATTCCTGAGACGCAAATGACTAAGTTACAATCTACCCTATCAAAATTAACTGCACACTCAACCAGTTCAAGCAAAGGCTTGACTACTTTTCAAGGTGCCAATGGGAACTGTWAAATAACAAGCTGTTCCTSGATACATCATTTTAACATTTAGAAATACCTTTAATGACTTTTGCATTTTCTCTCAAATTTTCATCTTTTGAGGTATCCATGTACAAAACATACATCAATAGTTCCTTGTAGGCTTGTATTGCAAGATGAAGTCTACAAAAGAATCAAATCCCAGATTCTGATTGTATTCAGTCAAGGTTCATGTAACATTTTCACTACAAGTGCTTTTTAAGCACAAAAATATGATTTCAAGGACTATTTTTAATTTTTTTAATATTTGTGAATGTTTTCAGTGGCAATTTTCAAAAATAGCCACATTTCAATCCTGACCAAATGGCAAAAAGCAACATGTTATTTCATCAGATTCAAGGCGTTTTCCAGGAGTTTTAGTGGTTGTTCGCATTTTCAAGGGCTTTTCAAGCGCCCTTGAAAACAAGTTTTCAATTCCAGGACTTCAAAGAATACKTAGCGCGAACCCTATTCAGTTTGTTTTTGATTGATTTCAAAAATATTTGCTTCCCCAATCTATTCTGGGTTAAACATGCACACTTAAACTTTAATCATATTTTCACATTCTTGGCAGTACCTTCTTCCCCAGACAACTGGATTTTGCTTGTCCTCTGAGAAGCTTTCATAGTATTGCATCATGATTTTTAGGACATATTGAAAGTTAGAAACACTCATTGTTTCCCTAATAAAAGAGAGAAAATATTTGTTAGATTTGTATAGATTTAATCTGCTGGAAAATGATGCATGCGAGAGTAATGCAACAGGATGCAAGCAACAGGATGGAGCAATAAACAATGTCCTTACCCAACAAAATCAACTCTAAAATCATAGTTTCGGGTAAACTCCATAAAAAATTTCATGGCCCATAGGAAGTAGCTTTCATCATTCTCTTGAGACCTTTCATGCATCAAATTATCCTGAAAAAAACATTGGTATCTCACAATGATAAGAATACAAAAATTATTCTGTCATCTAGTTCTCACATTACAAGATATCCATGTAACTAAACAAACTGCTTTCTTAAAATTGAAAGGTACATAAAACATACCCTAACAACATAGAGCAGAGGATTATAGCAATGCTCAAGAAACTGCTTACAAAACTCCTTCAAAAACATTCTGAAATGAAGCAATAACAAAAAAAAATCATAAACAATTCAATAATATGTATACAGTGTACAATGTATGAACAACAGCAATGTAATACTTTAATACCCTGAACAAGCTAAAAGTTTTAGATAAATCTACTTACATTTACATGTATCTAATTATCTAATACTYCAATTGATATGTATTAAGAAAAGGGACTGAAGGTAACATGACATTTTGTAACCAACTGACATACATTGCAGAAGTGAATTAACTCTTAAAGATAATCACCACAGTATACAAAGCAAGATCTCTATGCTATCATAACTTTTTTTTTAATGCAAACAAATCCACTAATTATGAAATAGTTTGACATTTGTAAACCTTTGGTAATTGATCAGATATCATAGTAGCACTTTGATTATACCTTATACTTAAAGTAGATCTTCTCTCTGATGCCATGTCCTGTACTTGCATCTGATTCTTCCTTTTCTTCCTTGCATTCTTTTCCAAATCAAAGTTCATATTCTTGGCATCTAACATTTTAGTAAAATGATACAATAATTAGATAATTGATATTAGTATCCACCAAACCATGGCCTATTACAAATCTAATGTTGGACAATAGCCGCTAGAATCGAAGTTAAAATAATAAGATTTTAACAAAAAAATCTCTATTCAAATATCGTTTGCTTAAAATTCTATTTGTAAAGTAGATCTAATTTAATTCGTTGTATTGTTCAGTCACAAAGGAAATATGAGGAAGACTCGCCGATCCGACTAATTCGTTTCGAAAATCAGTTTACATGTTTTATTTATCCATGTTCGTGTACAATTCAAAAAATGTATTCGCTCGCAACCGTACTATTACATTGTTATATTTCATATATAGATTATTGTGTGGTTAGATATCGATAATACTATTTAAAGCCGCTATGGAAACTAGCTAACACTAGTAGCGTCAATAAAGACAATGGTTGTGTATGGAACACAAACATATGTACCTTATATAATCATATTACTGTTACTTAAGCTATAAATGATTGGACATTTAGATTGATTGTGTGACACGTTTAGATCATATTACATTTTCGGGACTCGCATCTCTCGACGATCCATTAAATCTGTGATAGTTGAAATTAGACATTGAAATTAAGTTGAAATACACCAAAAACGCCACCAGATGTAAGTACACTGTGATTATAATCATATAGAATATTGACATATAATACCTTCTGATTTAACTAGTTATTTAGACAACTTTATTTGAATTCATTGTAGCAAACCTTTGTGATAATTACTTGAAATAAAGCGTATTGATCGTGGCAACAATTGATATTGACATTGATATAACTGAACTTGAAATAGACACTCGGAAATTAATCCTACAGGTTGCGTATAGTTGGTCGGGAATTCAATTGAACCAACTTTCAGTTGTTTAATTCAACGTTATGGAGTAAGTATTCTTAAAAGAATTGCTGGAAAAAGTAATTAATAATAAAAAAGAAAGAAAGACAAAAATTACATGTTATCCCTTGGGAATCGAACTGTGGCCACTTGGTCAGGACGACTATGTTTTAACCACTGAGCTAYGATGGCAATTCCKATATAGTCGTGGCTAAGATTGGGATTTATTTCGCCGTCACTCGCCGTGCTTATCCACAAACGAAGTTAGGATAATAGGATTTTAACAAAAAAAAAATCATAAATCGTTTACTTATTCTAATTGTTAAGTAATTATAATTTGATTCATCGTACATGTATCGTTTCGTATCAATCTTCGAGTTATGTTGCCATTGGCAGCTAGATTTAACTTATTGGAGGGGGATGAATCTGTCACTCACTAAATCAGTCACTCACGTTCCTGTAAACCTGAGCCTGTGAATTATTAATATATTCTAATTATTTTTCAGCTTTATAATGCTGAAACTAAGATTAAGATTAGAGAYGTAGAAACCGGAAAAAGAAGCGAGAAATGATATGCGGAAGTACWATACTCAGTTTACAGTATATACTCAATCAGAATCAACTGTAAATTTTCATTACCTGCTAAATTTCTATGGTAGATAATTTCCCTTTTGTCAGCTATTGACATCATGTTTTTCACAGTAAATGTTCCACCAAACCTTGAATGTCTAAATTAAACAAAAAATATTAGAATTTCTACCTCATTGGAATTTTCCTGTTCAAATTGCATACCTCCCAGAGAACTTTAATGCATTTTTCCTTTTATCAGCTAATTCTCTTTCTCTGAGCCTTTCTAGTTGCCTTCAAATCATTAAATAAAATGAATTTCAGTTAACAATTAGAGATATTTACATTCCGTACTGTATATTGACATTATTTCACCTGTTATCATGATGCTTTTCATTTTCCGATCTTTCCTCTCCAGCCTTTGCTAGACTTTCAGGGTTCTAATAGAAATAGTATGCCTGAGCAAAAATTACAACATGACCAGCAAATGACCATGAAATTGAATAAGTTTAATTTCAGAAGATCATGCAGCAAACATTAGGAACTAATAAATATTAATTTTCTCACATTTTGAAGTTAAGAACAAAAACAAAAAAGCATTTGCTGTGCTCTTTTTTTAATTTTTTGACTTAAATGCTCCATTAATTGTTGACCCAGATGTGTAGAATTTTTATTTTTTATTGATTTTCTTTTCTCAGTATCATGCCAATTAGGAAATTTTCCCCAGTCTTCCATGGTATAAAATTTGTCAATTTACAGTATAACATTTGCAGAGATTTCAGATCCTGAATAAAGCTCAAGTTTTCTTGTGATATGTGACCTCTCACGAGAAAACGTGTCTTAACGCTTAAAAGCGTTATAACGGTTTTCCGTTAATGGCCGTTAAACGGTTTGTCTAAACGTTAAAACGCTTTGGCAAAGCGTTAAACGTTTTGGGCAAAGCGTTATAACGTTTCCCGAAAACGTTAGCCGTTAAGAGCAAAGCGTTATAACGTTTTGCCAAAGCGTTAAACGTTAAGAGCAAAGCGTTATAACGTTTTGCCAAAGCGTTAAACGTTAAGAGCAAAGCGTTATAACGTTTTGCCAAAGCGTTAGCCGTTAAGAGCAAAGCGTTATAACGTTTTGCCAAAGCGTTAGCCGTTAAGAGCAAAGCGTTATAACGCTTTGCCAAAGCGTTAAACGTTAAGAGTAAACCGTTAAAAAGTTTTGGCAAACCGTTAGCAAAGCGTTAGCTCCATTTTTGAAAGCGTTTGCAAAGCGTTAGCTKTATTYTAAAAAGCGTCAGCAAAGCGTTAGCTCCATTTCCGAAAGCGTTAGCTCCATCTTCGAAAGCTGTTAGCAAAGCTTTAGCTCGCGTGATCTGGGTGCTCTTTCGAAACCGTTTATTCACGAAAAGTTAGCGAGATCTGTTGAACTGTAAATATAGTTTCCATAAATAAACGTACAATTGAACGTAAACCTCAATGGCATCACGTTTGAAGAAAACAAAAAACCAAATATCTAAACCGTCTAAATTGTCGACAACTAACTTGACTTTCTATCAAAGTATCAAACATTAAGCTCAGTCTTACTTAAATGTTTTACTGATAGTCAAATAGTTGATTGTAAAGAATTTGAGTTATCATGTTGGATGAAAGAGTATTATATATAAAAAGTCTAGTGCGTTTTATGTTTACTCTGCCGATATCGATCAAGAGGGATACGTATAAGCCGTGTCTTGACAACAAAACGATTTACTAACTGTGTTTCCCTCATAAGGCATCCCCAAATAGATGGAAAAAAATTGATTATACTATAGTATCTCTTTATTTACACATAGGTCTATTTACATAATTCGAGTTAAGTATCGCTAAAACACACAAAAACATAATAAAAGAAGACTCTTTGAATAAGTTAAAAGAATATGTTTTTATAATAGATGCCCGAGATACGGGATATTTTCAATCGAAGCGTCAGTAAAACGTCATTCTTGGATCGCGTCAAAGTCTAAGSAAACCGTTAAACCTAAACGTCAAAGCGTTAGCAAGACGTTAGACATCGATCTCAAAGCGTTAACAAAYCGTTAGCTCTCGATCTCAAAGCGTTAACAAACCGTTAAGCCATGACCCTTAAAACGTTAGCCGTTAAGACCAAAGCGTTATAACGTTTTGCCAAGCGTTAAACGTTAAGAGCAAAGCGTTATAACGTTTTGCTAAAGCGTTAGCCGTTAAGACCAAACCGTTATAACGTTTTGCCAAAGCGTTAAACTTTAAGAG